GGTGTGAGAGGAGCTGGGCTGGGCAGGGAGTGTTCTGAGGGGCCCCAGGATCCTGCCAGGGCCCCCCCTGTGCTGGCCCCGCCCCAGGGCTCAGTGACCCCGCCCAGACAGCAGTGTGAGAGGGAGGAGCAGCCCAGAAACCCACACAGGTTTCACAAGTGGTCTGAACTCCAGTCAGTAGTTTATAGGGTCAGGTACATCTGTTTACATAGCGTAATTCTTTAGAATACATTGACTTTTTCATCCAGATTTTCTGTAGTTTTCTCTTTTAGTAAAACTCCTGATGTTAACCTGGTAGTTTTTATGACTCCCATATCCCAGATGCTGCCAATACTCTAAAATTTATGTGACATCCATCCCATCACTGTCCTTCCACCCACAGTGGTTCCCCTGCTGTCCCCAAACCCCAGGGCAGGACATCAACACTTCACACTCCCTTTCCTGTTTCTTACAAGTCACCGACTTGGGACACTGCCCGGGTTCTGGAGACCATCCTGCCCCTGGGCCCTGGCCTGTGTGTGTTTGGTGGGGCTGTGGCCCGCATGTTATCCCCCTTCCTTGGGGGACAATGGGAGCCAGAGCTCTCAGGACCTCCTGCCCCTGGAGCACAGGTACATGAGAGATTGGGGGACGGCTGGGTGACATTTCATCTGATTACTTGAGACCTCTTGTTTCTTGGGACATATCTCTTGATGTTTGGGGAATGAGAGCCTACTTGGCTGGTAACTACAATGGAGCCCCAAATAGCCCCACCCTGCTGCAGGGAGCCTCCCACTAAGAGGGACCCTGCAGTCTGTCAGTGCGGGCTGCTGTGATCTGCATATTCGTTACAGTGAGTGTTTGTGCAGCTGCAGATAAGGTAGCCAGCAGGCTTAGGGGATCGTGTTTCTAACCCGAGATCTAACTCGAGGTCACCTCCTGATTCTCAGTCCCAGGTCAAATCACAGCCCTGGGGGCTGGAGTGAAGGATCCTGCAGAGCAGACTCAGAGGCTGCAGGGCCTCCCTGGTGGTGCAAAGGGTTAAGTCTCAGCACTAGGAAGCTCCCCCCAGCCTCTGCAGCAGGAGCATGATGCAAGCCGGGGAGTGACCCACATGGGCAGCAGCCCTCTCCTGTCTGCCC